ACACTTGTCTTAGTTGGTTGTTATGTTTATCACGTAAAAATCATTCTCATTAAAAACCCAACCCCATGATATTTGTAATTCCGTGTAAAATTTCATTAACAATCTTTAAGAATGTCACACCATTTACGAAATCGGTTTTTTTATTTTATTTTATTTTATTTTATTTTTTTTTTTTTTTTTTTTAGAAAATTGAAAGAAGATTCGTATGTATGAGATTGAACTTTCTAAATGTTGAAATATCAATTTGTGTGTGTATTTTTTTTTTTCTTTAACAATTTTGTTAGTCTCCTTATCTTTTATTTGTAATTTATTTTATTTCATTATTTTTATTATATTTTTTATTTTTATTTTTATTTTTTTTTTTTTTTGTAATTATTTACATTGATAAAAAATATTTGTGTAGATTTTGAGAATGGTAGAATTGGTAGAATTTTTACAAATTAAAATTATTTTATTTAAAATATTTATTTTATGTATAGAATTTATTTATTTAAATATTATATATTTTAAAATTAGTATTTAAAATTAATTATTTTTATTATATTACTTTTTTATTTATTTATTTATTTTTTTAAATATTTTTTAATTTTTTTATTTTTTTTAATTTTTTTTTTTTTTATTTATATAAGGAAATTCAATTGGTATCTTGTTAAAATAAATATAGTATTTATTCATGATAATTAATCTTTAATATACAATGAATATTTTTTGGCACATTGAATAAAGAATTTTATTAAAGAATAAATCTACTGGATTAGCATTAATTATTATTAGCATATGTTGTAATTTCTATGCAAAAATTTTATAAAACGACACACAACATCTGACGGAACAACATCGATTTGGAATATTTTTTTTTTTTTTTTTCATCATTCGAGACAAGATAAAACCACTTAAAAATATTATCTTGTATTATTTTCTCGAATATTAAAAAGAAGAAAGTATAAAATTGTGATTCTCTCTTAAAGAAGAATCCAATCGAAACAATTGTTTTTTTTTATTATTATTATTATATTTTTGAAATATTAAAATCAATATTCAATATTTAATAATTTATTAATCATATTTACATTATATTTTTAATTTGTCGAGCAATTTTAATGTAAAGAAATCAACGTTTATTATTTAATTAATATAATATTTTTATTTTTACCATAAAAAAAAAAAAACAATTGTATTAATGATTTATACTTTATAATTTAAAGTAAATGAAAATTTTTTTTTAGCAAATATTCAACTCAATAATTATTCAGTATTAATATTAAAACTTGTAATAATATAATTTAAGTTTATATTTATACATTTAAATTATGTTTCATTATTTTAAATTGTAATGTTGTTCTTTTTTTTTTTAAACAAATGTAGAAATATCTAATATTACATTTATTTGAATATTATTTATCGAAGTTTTAAAGATGTATTTATATACTCAACTTGAGACACTAATAGTTCATCTTTTGGATTTTTGCCCAATAAACGTAGACACCACAATATAAAACGAATTCATACGTAAACACACACATATATACACAAACACACACTATATATATATATGTATGATATTTACAGAATGTTTCAACTTTGAAAGTACACTATCCTCGAAAACTATAGATTAAAAATTAAAAATTAGTAACAATATTATGATTATTATTATTATTATAAGAACAATTAAGAGTAACATTTAAAATGATGTATAACTTGATCCATATTATAATTAAAGATATTTTAATATAAATGTTTAATAAATAATTATGTTTATTAAAAAAAAATATTTGATAACAAAATTGAATTGTACTAAAATCATTGATTGGTTAAACGATTAGATTTTTCAATTAAAAATTCAAATAGACTATTTTTCATTTAAACATGCTTTAAATAAAAATGTCCATAGTATAAATATTTGTATAAAGCAAAAAGACTATAATTTAAAATAAAAATACAGTATAATTAAAACCATACTTAATTGGTTAAACGATTAGTTTTCAATGATAAATTTAAATAGACACTTTTTAATTGAAACATGCTGTAAATAAAACTGTTCATAATACATATTTATATAAAAAGATTATAATTTAATATAAAATACAGTATAATTAAAACCGTACTAATGGTTCATTGGTTAAACGATTAGATTTCAATCTAAAATAAATCAAAATTGAAGCTTTTCATTAATACATGCTGTAAATAAAAATGTTCATAATATACATATTTGTATAATAAAATAAGCTATTATTTAAAATAAAAATACTGTACAACTAAAATCATACTTCATTGGTCAAAAGAATACATTGCAATATAAAATACAAATTTAAAATTTATATTGAAAGATCCTGTAAATAAAACTGTTCATAATATATATATATATTTGTATAAAATAAAAAGACTATAATATAAAATAAAAATACAGTATAATTAAAACCATACTTAATTGGTTAAACGATTAGTTTTCAATGATAAATTTAAATAGACTCTTTTAATTAAAACATGCTGTAAATAAAACTGTTCATAATACATATTTATATAAAAAGATTATAATTTAATATGAAATACAGTATAATTAAAACCGTATTAATGGTTCATTGGTTAAACGATTAGATTTCAATCTAAAATAAATCAAAATTGAAACTTTTCATTAAAACATGCTGTAAATAAAAATGTTCATAATATATATATTTGTATAATAAAATAAGCTATTATTTAAAATAAAAATACTGTATAACTAAAATCATACTTCATTGGTCAAAAGAATACATTACAATATAAAATATAAATTTAAACTTTATATTGAAAGATCCTGTAAATAAAACTGTTCATAATATATATATATTTGTATAAAATAAAAAGACTATAATTTAAAATAAAAATACAGTATAATTAAAATCATACATAATTGGTTAAACGATTAGTTTTCAATGATAAATTTAAATAGACTCTTTTAATTAAAACATGCTGTAAATATAAATATTCATAATAAACATATTTATATAAGAAAAAGACTACAATTTAAAATGAAATACAGTATAATTAAAACCATACTAACGGTTCATTGGTTACATAATTAGATTTCAATATATAATCAAAATTGAAACTTTTCATTGAAACATCCTGTAAATAAAATTGTTCATATTACATATTTATATAACAAAGAAGACTATAATTTAAAATAAAAATACTGTATAATTAAAACCGTACTAATGGTTCATTAGTTACATCATTAGATTT